GGGGTTGAGTTTTCTAATTGGTGGCGCTGTCTACAGGCGTGTTTGCACAGACAAATTCTGTTTACTCTGCTGTTTCATTAGTACGAAAGATAATTAGGTTCTGAAGGGTTCTGACGATGTTGTAATACAATATGGATTATCGGACCTCGTCCGTCGCCTTATGTAATGAAACACCCAACGTTTCGAGGACTGGATCTGTCCTCCGGTAGTTGAGACTAGCTCATTGTAATGGATCCCACGGAGTAGGCGTTCGCTTCACTACACCTGAAGACGAGGACGAATCCAGTCCTCGAGACGTTGGGTGTTTTACAATATCAAACATTGATAAGATCGAAAATCTCTACAAACGTGAAAATAATTAGGATATCCTTCATGCAGAATTTCATAACAATTTGTCTGCATCTTAATCTGTAAACCAGTTCGTTATATTGAAGAACTTTCTAATAAAATCCATTGCATCTTATGAATACACACTTTCATTTCTGTCCGGTAGATCACTTTAGAGAAATCAGATCAAGTTGAATCTCTCGTGTAAAATGGAGATTACAGGCGGCCGATATGAACCGCGGTGCAGTTAGTACTGGAACCTGGTCATAGAAGTAGACAGAGCACACAGACGGAATTTTTTTATGGATTATTAACCCTTCGTAATCGAAGAATATGATCACGATTCTGAACATCTTTTCATTTGGTCTCAGGATGATGTTGGAAACACCACGACTCGTCCCCAGCAATGATGGTGTTTAGAAAATAGATTCACCGTCAGCTGTCTGCACAGAATCTTTGCAGGCGTCCAATCGTGTGTTTTCCTCAGCGCTCAAAGAGTGTGGCACACATTTTTCTGTGATAACTGTGGACCCCTTATTCTCATTTGATTCTCTTGCCATTATTCGGTAGTCTGTGCCGAGTAAAATGATCAATTTGCCCACCATCCAGTCGTCCACGGAGAGGTTCATTTTCAACAAAATCTCTGCCCTCTTGAAAACGCTTAAACCAACGAAATGTATGTCCTCCTGACAGAGCCCCATCCCCGTAAGCTGTTCTTCTGTCATTTCATGTTTCACTCGGGATTTATTTGTTTATTTAATCGCTGAATATATAATGACACTAATTTATATCTTGAACACGTCATCTCTCGGAAATAAATTGAAATTCTATACTCAAACAGTCCCGTTATATCTACGTTCTAGTTGCATTATCGTGTGCCAGTCACGTCGCATAACATTCAGACCTTCAATTTCTGCTAATATTTGCATTTCAATAGAACTTACCTTCGTTACAATATAAGTTTGTATTTATTTTCTTTAAATAACGTGTTAATTGCGTAGGTATCATTATCTAACCGCAAGGAAGATGAATTTTATTAAACGGAAATAAACCCAAATTTGGTCGAGAATCGCTCCATTAAAAACAAAACAAAATCAACTTCCTGTCTTGTAACAGTTCCTGCTGGGAGCCCGGAAGTGACAGAACGCTCCGTGTATTGTCAAATAACGACTGTAGTTAACCTGAGGGCAAAGGAAGCTGCTGTCTCTTGACAGATCAATTCACTCTCACTTCTACTGCCCCGACCCTGACACCTTCCAGCAAAATATTATTAACATTATCCTGCAATTAGAGAAAATTCCACCGTGATGGGACTCTTAGGGGCGTTTAGTTAAATGTATCCGATTTTCCACTCTAACTAAGACCCAAATGGGGGGTTGCAGAACGACAGCTTCCGAAGGCTCTATTCTTCACGTATCCAACTGCCAATTTTCGCATTATTCAAGACAGGGGTGTCCACCAATCACTTCCAGTTCCACTGCATAAGAAGTACAATGCGTTCATCTCTCCATAGAGCTGTATCCCAGGACAGCGAAATCAGTTTTGTACTGCCTGGTCTTAGAACTAGTCTTTAACGTAATGGTTTATTATTATTATTTAGTGTTCTGTCTGATGACAGGTCCATATGAACAGGATCCTTCCATCCTTTTCTCGGACTGGGACCTGTTCATATACGTTCTTGGCAGATGATCCAGAAGTGGT